TTCCTTTTCTAATCAAAGCAGTTATATACAGGAACTAGAGTATTAGATAAATGGCCCAGCTGTCACATGGCTAGCTGCCAGAGTTGTTTTGGCTATGAATACATATGTAGTCTTAAGAACCCCTATTACTTCTTTCAACTTCAAGGTTACCTACAACCCCTAATTAGGAGGCGCTCCACCTATCCAGAAATAGATCAGTTCCCTCTCATACATAGTATTATGGGTCAGCCCATCATCCCCTCCTAAAACATAGGGATTTTCTGGAAAGCAGGAAATAACATGATACTTTCTCCTACTGCCCCAAAGGAACAAGAGTGTGCAGAGCAGTAAATACCATCTATCTTCCCAAAACAGGTGCTCAAGAGCAGGGAACAGTGTTCTGCAGAGGAACTGAAGAGAAATCCATTCTGACACAGGACCCACAGGAAGAAGGGCTTCAGTGGAAGGCTGCTGAGAGGACTGGATTCACATTTTTAACTATGTAAAGGAGAAAACTCAGAGCCCTTTACTTAAAAGAAAAGGATTGGGGATAAGATTCAATGCTACATTCTCTATTCTTAAAGCAGAGGTTACACCTGCCTGGGTTAAGAGTAAATGCTCACACAAATTTCATACCTGTGCTTAATCCTCAAGTAATATTTCAATGCCTCATATACACTGGACATTTGTAGGCACTTTATAGAATATTTAAATGATAAAGCTATGGTCTAATACCGCAAAGAAATAAAAAATAGAGGAAAAGGACCTGTATGTACAAAAATATTAAAAACAGCTCTTTTTATGATTGCCAAAAGTTGGAAACTAAAGAGGTATCCCTCTTTCTGGGAAAAGTCTGAACAAATTATAATATCTGAATGTAACAGAATATCATTATGCCATAAGAAATTATGAAACACAATTTCAGATGAAATTAGGAAGACATTTATGGAATTTTAAGGAGTCTCCTGAACTTGTCTTTTTGAGTTGCCACATTTTCCAGAAACACTGGAAGCCAAGAGTCCCAAAGAAGGAAGATGAAACTCTCCACTCATCTTGGAAAGTGTGGTGATTAACATGTGAATTTATTTTGCCTGACTATTTAAGATATATAGTAAGGAATTTCTTTTTCAGGTTTTTTTTTTAAATTTTGCTCAATGAGGGATGGGGAACAGTCAGTCAGTCAACAAGCATTTATTAAATGTTTTCTATGTGCTGGGCACAATACTAAGAGCTGGGAATACAAATACAAACAGAAAGAAATCCCCTGTCCTCAACAGAGAAACAACCCAAAAGGAAGCTGAAAGACTGGGAAAGGGACTGAGAAGATGAAGGCACTGTAGAAAAGTTCTGGAGTGAAGTCTGACAGTCAATAAACATCTATTAAGTACCTACTATGTGCCAGGCACTATGCTAAGTGCTAGAGATCCAAAGAAAGGCAAAAGATAATCCCTGCTCTCAAGGAGATCACTGTTTAATGGAGAAATATAACAGCCAAAAAAACTAGGTAAAAAGCAAGCTATATCCGGAATTGGAGGCACTAGAATTAAGGGGGATCAGGAAAGACTTCCTGTAGATGGCTGAATTTTAGCTGGGACTTAAAGGAAGGCAAAAGGTTGAGATGAGGAGACAGAGTATTCTAGGCATAAGGGACAGCCAATGAAAATGTCCAGAGTGAGGAGATAGTGTCTCGTTTGAGGAATAACAAGGAAAGCTGGAAGGGGTGGGATTGGTGTAGGGGGTAAGGGTAATGTAAAGTATAAAAAAGATTAGAAAATAATAACAAGATTCATCTGGAAGAACACAAGGTCCAGAATATCAAGGGAACTAATGAAAAGAAATGCTAGGGAAGGTGGCCTAGCCACACTAAATCCTAAATTGTATTATAAAGGAATAATCATCAAAACTACTTGGTACTGGCTAAGAAACAGAGTGGTGGATCAGCAGAATAGATTAAATACACAAGACACAGTAGTTAATGGCTATACTAATCTACTGTTTGATAAACCCAAAGACCCCAGCTTCTGGGATGAGAACTCATTATTTGACAAAAACTGCTGGGAACACTGGAAAAAAGTATAGCAGAAACTAGGCATAGATCTATATCTTACACCATATGCCAAAATAAAGTCAAAATGGGTACACGATTTAGATATAAAGGCTGATACTGGGAGCAAATTGGGAGAGCAAGGAATAGTTTACCTGTCAGATTTATGGAGAATAGAAGAATTATGACCAAACAGGAGACAGAGAACATTATGAAATGCAAAATGGATAATTTTGATTACATTAAATTGAAAAGTTTTTCCACAAACAAAGCCAATGCAACCAAGATTAAGAGGGACTCAGAAAACTGGGAAAGAATTTTTACAACCAGTGCCTCTGATAAGGGCCTCATTTCTAAAATATATAGAGAACTAAGTCAAATTTATAAGAATACAAGTCATTCCCCAAATGATAAATAGTCAAAGGGTATGAACAGCCAGTTTTCAGATGAAGACACTAAAACTATAGTCACATTAAAAAACGCTCTAATTCACTACTGATTACAGAAATACAAATCAAAAGAATTCTGAGGTACCACATCACACCTATCAGATTGGCTAACATGACAAAACAGGACAATGATAGATGTTGGAGAAGTGGGAAAATTGGACTATTAATGCATTGTTGGTAGAGTTGTGAACTGATTCAACCATTCTGGAAAGCAATTCAGAACTATGTCCAAAGGGCTATATAAACTTGTACATACCCTTTGACCCAGCTAGAGCATTTCTAGGGCTGTATCCCAAAGAGATCATAAAAATGGGAAAAGGACCCACATGTACAAAAATATTTATAGCAGTTCTTTCTGCGGTGGCAAAGAATTGGAAATTGAGGGGGATGCCCATCAATTGGGGAATAGCTGAACAAGTTGTGGTATATGAATGTAATGGAATACTATTGTGCTATAAGAAATGATGAGCAAATGGACTTCAGAAAAACCTGGAAAGACTTGTATGGACTGATGCAGAGTGAAGTGAGCAGAACCAGAAGAACGTTGTACAGAGTAACAGCCATGCTGTACAATGACTAACTTTGATAGACTTAGCTCTTCTCAGTAATGCAACAATCTAAGACATCTCTAAAAGTCTCATGACGGAAAATGCTATCCACATCCAGAGAAGGAACTATGGAGTCTGAATGGAGATTGAAGCATACTATTTGCTTTTTATTTTCTTCTGTTTTGTTTTGTTTTTTCTTTCTTGTGGTTCCTCCTATTGGTTCTAATTCTTCTTTACAACATGACCAATGTGAAACTATGTTTAATAGGAATGTATATGTAGAGCCTATATCAGATTGCAGACTGTCTTGGAGAGAGAGGGGGAGAAAATTTAAAACTCAAAAGCCTATGGAAGTGAATGCTAAAAAACAAAAAATATAGATTAATTTTTAAAAAAATAAATTTTATACATAACTATAAATGTTCATTGTTATTTCCCCTAATGGAGCATAAGCTCATTTGATTATGGAATATCTTTGGTTTTGTATTATATCTTCAGTACCTAGCACAGTGCCTGGAATAAAGTAGGCACTTAAAAACAAAAGACTAGAAAGAGAGAGGGCAGATGAAGGACTTTGAATGCCAGAGGATTTTATATTTGATCCTGGATGTGATAGGAAGCCAGTGGAGTTTATTGCATAGGGAAGGGTGATATGGTCAGACTTACATTTTAGAAAACTCACTCTGGCAGCTGAGTAGAGGATGGACTGGGAGGCAGAGACTTTATGACAGGCTGACCAATTAGCAGGTTATGGTGATGGTCTAGATTTGAGGTGACAAGGATCTGCAGCAAGGTGGTAAAGTGTCAGAGAAGAGAAGGGGATAAATGCAATAGATGTTATAAAGACAAAATAAACAGATCTTGGCAACAGATTGGATATATGGGTAGTGAGAGAGACTGAGGAGGAATAGGTTAATAAAAAAAAAGTCTTACCTTACAAATATACATAAAACTATTAGATGTCTAAAGAGACAAAGCTATGATTCCTGGTCTCAGAGTTTTTATTCTAGAAAAGGCAATATTAAGGAATCTTCCCAAATGTCAAAAATGGAAAATAATCTATTTCTAAAGATCCTTTTAGTCTCATCATATTCCTGCAGTCATTGTTACGTGTTCACATCAGCTATTCCCTTTATTCAGGCAAAATTTTAACTTTAGGTTTTGAATCAGAAATTCACACAACAAATACAATAAAAAATATAGTACATTTATACAAGTGGGCCTCCAATAATTTGACCATAACTTACCTGAATCAAAATCTACACATAAGTTGTTAAGAGTTCCAGGGTAGGTTTCTTTCTTTTTTATTCCAATAGTTATATATTACTTTTTATTTAAAACACTAAGCCAGATCTTGGTTTTATGTAGGGAAAACTTTTTTTTGTTATTGTTGTTGTTGTTGTTTTAACAATTAAAAGTTATTCTATGGCACAGTGAAAACCATAACAGATCTAGAATCAAAGGATCTGGGTTCAAATCCCAAAGGATCTGGGTTCAAATCCCAGGTCTGCCAGTTATTACCTGTTCAACTTTGCAATCTTTTTGTGCCTGTTTCCTCATTTGCAAAATGGGGAAATTAGACTAGATGACCCCTGAAGTCCCTCCCCATTCTAAATGTATCCAAAATCCTATTAAAAAAACCAAACAAACCAGAAAGCATTACCTCAAGAGGTAATCGCCTCAAAGCAAAAGCAGCTAGATGACTATTTGTTGAGTACTATATACAGAAGAGGAGATTCTTGTTAAGGTCCTGGTTGGATTAAAGAGTTTCAAAGATCCTTTATGATTCTGTGAGTTCAGAACACTAGCTCTATCTGTGTGGACTAGAGGTATTTAAAAGACATAGAGCATAAAGCAACTTATTAAATCCAAAACTTCCTGAGCTCAGGAAGTCAGAGAAGCCATAAAGCTGACCACAAAAGGTTCAAGGCAAAGAAGCCAATTCCAGTTGCCTTAGAAGCAGAGATAGCAATAACATACCTTAAAAGATTTTCAGCGCCAGTTCTCATTCGAACAGCTTTCATGATCTGTTGGTTTAATGCAGCCCTTTGATTCTGAAGTTTGCTTCGCCCTGTCTGAGCCAGAGGGTTACAACCCTAGAAACAATAAGAAATTGTTTATTGGAGGACAATAGAACAAAAAAGAAAATAATACTTCATCTAATATTATATCTTACACTGTGAACTTTAAAAATCCTAGGATGGAACAAACTATTTCATTCTAACTGAATGATGGAAATTTTTATCTCAAAGCAAAATTAGTAACTACATACATCCAAAATTCTAGAGACCAACAGAGTAGTTGTCAATTTGAGTTGCATGTCTTTTTAAATTATAACCTACCTGAATAGTTTAAAAGAAAGGTTTAGGCTAAGCTGAGTATGGTGGATGATTCTAAAAACTAAAACTGCATAGGGATAGGTAAAAAGAAGCAATTATTTCATTCAAATCAGGCTTGAAAGGAAGAACTGATACAGAAGAAGCAAGTGGGAGTTAAGGGCTTATAAGGCTGGACCTTTACTCTCATTGGAAATAGATTAAAGAGGGAATAATATGTACAATATGTAGAAGAGTATAAAAGTCTAGTCTTCTAGGAAGAGGATAAGGGAGGGACTCTTAGAGGTAGATTACGGAATAGAAGGGCAAGGTAGTGACTAGAAACAAATCAGACTCATGAGGAAGGATAGTGAGGAAAAATAGGATGGAGGGAATTATACAAATGAACAATTGTAACTTTGAATGTGAATGGGATGAATTCACTCATAAAACAGGAATGGATTAAAAATATGAATTCAACAATATATTGGTTACAAAAGATAAAATAAAAAATGAGAAACAGTCAAAATAAAGAGCTGGAGTAGAATTTATTATGCTTCAGCTGACGTAAAACAAAAAGCAGGGGTAGCAAACATGATCTCAGACAAAGTTAAAGCTAAAACAGATTTGATTAAGAGATAAACAGGGAAACTACACTGTGTGTCACCAATATTATTCAATATTGTTTTAGACCATTTAAAAATAACTGTAGACAGTATAAAACTTCTGAGAGTATACCTGCCAAAACAGACCCAGGAACTACATGAACATAATTATAAAACATTCTTTATACAAATATGAAGTCAGGTTTAAATAGTTGGAAAAATATTAATTGTTCATGGTTAAGGAAAGCTAATATAATGAAAATAATGTAAAGGAAGTAGATTCTACAGTACCAGACCTTAAACTATATCACATGGCAGTAAATTTCAAAAGTATTTGGTATTGGCTAAGAAATAGAAAGGTAGAACAGTGGAGCTGAGTAGGCATACAATACACAATAGTAATCTTGTGTTTGAAAAATATAAAGATTTAAGTATTGGGGGTAAGAATTCGTTATTTGGTAAAAATTGTTAGGAAACCTGAAAAACAGCCTGGCAGAAATTGGGCATAGACCAATATCTTATAACCAATCTTATGTACCAAGATAAAGTCAAAATGGATACATAACCTAGATATAAAGGGAGATATCACAAGAAAATTAGAAGAATGTGGATCATATTATCTGTCAGACATATGGTAGCAGAATAATATATGAAGAAATGAGATAGAGAGCATTATGGATTGTAAAATGGATAATTTATATTATATTAAATCAAAAAATTCTTGTACAGATGAAACCAACGTAGTCAAGATGAGATGGGAAAAAAGAAAATTGGGGGAAAAAAAGCTTTCCTAGATAGTCTCTTAGATAAAGGTCTCATTTCTCAAATACATAAAGGACTTTCAAATTTATCAGAATACGAATCATTGCCCAGTTGACAAATGGTCACAGGCAGTTTTCTATGAAGAAATCAAAACTACATAATCATATGAAAAAATGCTCTCAATCATTATTGATTAGAGAAATGCAAATCAAAACAACTTCGAGATACCATCTTACACCTATCAGATTGGCTAAAATGATAGATGCCCTTCAATTGGGGAATAGCTGTGGTATAGGATTGTGATAGAATATTACTGTGATATGAGAAATGATGAGCTGGCTGGTTTTAGTAAAACATGGAAAGACTTGGACCTATGAAGGAAGATGCTATCCACCTCCAGAAAAAGAACCGATAAATAGAAATATATATAGTATGGTCTTACATATATGTATGTGTGTATACATATATGTATGTATATAGATATAAATGTATATGTGTATATATATACACACACACATATATATTCATGTTTAATTGTAGCCTTCTCTAGGACAAAATTTGGAGGCAGGAAGAAAAAATAAAATAAAATGTGCACAGCAGAGAAGAAAAGAAAATTTAGAAGGAAGCAAAGAAAAAGCTGTGAGAGCTTTAAAACAACATATAGTATTTATTATACAGTTTGTTAAAAAGTAAACTGTTTGAATAGTAATTTATTGTCTTATATTGAATTCTCTCTATGTTCTGCTGTGTACGTGGAAATGCTTTCTTTTTCTTTTCTCATTTTGTATTTAAGTTTAAAATGAATTTTTTAAAATTTTTAGAAAAAAATACAATAAATTATCATCTAATTTAGTGGATTTTTTTAAAATTATGGTTTATTTTCAAGGAGAAGTTGGTAGGTAAAAGTACCTAAAACCAGAATACATTCTTTATAGTTTGGTCATATCATTATGATTTCTGCTATTTTCTATATATTCTCGAACCCTTCCATAAATAGCCAATATGCTCTCAAATTCAGGAAAGTAAGAAATGGGGAAATCAATCAATATGTATTTATTAAACTACCACATGCCAACCACCCTACTAGGAGGTAGGGATACAAATTCAATAAATGAAACAAGCCCTACTCAAGGAGTTTACATTTTAAAGGGGAGACAAGTACATATGTAAGGTTATACAGAATAAATACCTCCTTTGCCATTGCAAAGGATGATGGGATCTTTCCATCTGACTTGGAGCTAAAACCTTCCATATGTATTATCTACTTCCCTACTTGTATCCTCAAAATTAGCACAGTGCTTTTGCACATAATAAGAACTTACTAAACTTTTTTCATTCATTCCATTCCAGACACATATATATGTATGCATATGAGTCATGTGCATAGACAGTACTGTTAAAACCATGACAAGAGAGAATGTGAGGGAAAAGTGAAGAGGGCTTATTCTCTTGGGGGAATAGTCACAGAAGGCATGATATGAATGATGAACCATCAAAGGAAAAAGAGAAACAGTCATTGAGAAGATAGAGAACCAGGAAAGAATAATATCACAAAATCCCATAGAAGAGATTATCCAAGATAAGACAGTGGTCAATAGTGTTCAAATGAAGCAGATAGGTCAAGAAACACTTCAAGAAGAACTGAGAAAAGACCATTAGATCTAACAACTAAGACCTCTGGTAACTTTAAACTTTGGCTTGGAAGCCAAATGGCAAAGGTTAAGGAGAGTGATGAAGTGAAGACAACGAGCATAGACAATACTTTCAAAGAGTTTGGCAGAGAAAGGAATGAGAGATACAGGATGATATCTTGGAGGGTATGGCTGGATCTAGTCAAAGTTTTTTAAGAATGGGGAACACTTGGGCATGTCTGAAAACAAAGAACCAGCAGGTAGAGAAAGGCTGAAGATTAGAAATGGAAAAATTTGCTAAAAGATTATAGGGGATGAAGTCAAGGGCCCATATGGAGGGGATTGGTCTTGGCAATGTGAAGAGCCACCTACCTCATTATAAGAGACTAGGGAAAATGAGGAGAGAATGGAGGATGATGTCATGAAATTTTGATATGAAGAGTAGAGAAGAGGAATTTTATGGCAAATGACCTAAAATTTATAAGTGAACTAATAGGCAAGGTCCTCAGCTGAGGGGAGGGGGGACAAGAAGTTTGGGATACTTGAACAGAGAAACTTTGGAACAGCTTCTCTGGGGAGTGAGGTAGGGAATCAATCAAGGAAGAATAAAAAGACTGCCTTGTTTGCAGTGAGAGCCAGAATTTAAAGAATATGAGTTTATAGTGTTATCCAATCAACATGGTTGTGTGACTTCCTTCACCTCTGTTGAACATCACATAATTAGGAACAGAAGAGGTAGAGATGGTGGATAAAATCCAGGGCTAGGGTTTAACAAAGGATGAGCAGCAGTAGAACAAGGGAGTAAGGAATTCAAAGTAAATGACAGCATAGAGTTGAATGGTTAACTATAACAGGGTCAAGATCGGAAAAGGAAGAAAGCCAAGGTAATGGCCTGAGAAAAGTACCAACTTGGGAACGGATTACAAACTGTAATGAGAGTGAAGAATTGGTTCGGGAGGGGTGAGGCCCAGAAAGCGAGAGAATGATCAGTTATAGCGAGAGACAGAGGAATGTCAAAGCTTTTGATTAAGGAAGCGGATCTTTGTGGGTAATAGTAAAATCCAAGGTATGGATGGCTGAAGTAGAGAGGAATAGATCATGGAATTTCGGGAGACTGAAGAACTGGCCATATTGGCAGCACTAACAAACTTAAGGACTGCTTTATTGGAGGCCTCTAAAATGATGTATTAGAGATAAGTCATATTGTCTCTTACACAGAGGTGTTTCTACATAAGAATTTACTCTATTTTGCCACCTCTGTGTTCCCTCTCTCACTATTTACTTTGATATTATGCCTGTTCTGGCTTAAAACATCAAAATCTGACATCTTTTTTTATTTGTTTTTTATTTATTTTTTATTAATTAATTAATTTTTAGTTTTCAGCATTCGCTTCCATAAGCTTTTGAGTTTTAAATTTTCTCCCCTTCCCTCCCCAAGACAGTCTGCAATCTGATATAGGCTCTACATATACATTCTTACTAAACATAGTTTCACATTAGTCATGTTGTAAAGAAGAATTAGAACCAACAGGAGGAACCACAAGAAAGAAGAAACAAAACAAAACAGAAGAAAAAATTTTTAAAAAGCAAATAGTATGCTTCAATCTCCATTCAGACTCCATAGTTCTTTCTTTGGATGTGGATAGCATTTTCCGTCATGAGACTTTTGGAGATGTCTTAGATCCTTGCATTACTGAGAAGAGCTAAGTCTATCAAAGTTAGTCATTGCACAACGTGGTTATTACTTTGTACAACGTTCTCCTGGTTCTGCTCACTTCAGTCT